GTTTATAGAAATACAAGAGTGCCTCAAGAAGCAAGAAAAATCTGAAATAAACAACCTAATATTACACCTAAAAGAGCCAAAAAAAGAAAAACAAAACCCAAAAACAGCAGAAGGAAGGAAACAGTAAAGAATAGGGCAGAAATAAATGATACAGAAACTAAGAAAACAACAGATCAATGAGACCAGGAGCTGGTTCTTTGAAAAAAAAAATCAATAAAATTGATAAACCTCTAGCCAGAATTATCAAGAAGAGAAATGACTCAAATAAATAAAATCACAAACAAGAGGGAGAAATAACAACCAACACCACAGAAATACAAACAATTATAAGAGAATGTTGTGAAATACCATATGCCGACAAACTGGACAGCTTAGAAGAAATGGATAAATTCCTAGAACATAAACTTCCAAAACTGGAGAAAGGAATACATAAAAAATGAACAGACTGACAACCAGCAAAGAAATTGAATCAGTAATCAAAAAACTCTCAAGTCTGGGCCAGATGGCTTCACAGGTGAATTCTACCAAACATTTAAAGAAGAGTTAATACCTACTCTTCTCAAACTTTTCCAAAAAAAGAAAAAGGAAGGAAAACTTCCAAATTCAATCTACAAGGCCAGTATTATCATGATACCAAAACAAGATAATGACACCACTAAAAAAAAGAGAGAACTACAGGCCAATATCCATGATGAACATAGATGCAAAAAACCTAAATAAACACTAGCAAACCAAATTCAACCAAATTCAAAGAATCATACACCATGATCAAGCGGGATTTACTCCTAGGTTGCAAGGGTGGTTCAATATTTGCAAATCAATGTGATACATCACATCAATAAGGGAAAGGATAAGAACCATATGATTATTTCAGTAGATAAAGAAAAAGCATTTGACAAAGTACAACATCCATTCATGATAAAAAAAAAACACCTCAACAATATAGGTTTAGAGGGAATATATCTCAACATAACAAAGGCCTTATATGGAAAACCCACAACTAACATCATCCTCAATGTGGCAAAATTGAGAGCTTTTCCCCTAAGGTCAGGAACAAGACAAAGATGTCCACTCTCACCACTTTTATTCAACATAGTATTGGAAGTCCTAGCCACAAGAGTCAGACAACAACAACAACAAAAATAAAAGGCATCCAAATTGGTAAGGAAGAAGTAAAATTTTCACTGTTTGCAGATGACATACTATAGATAGAGAATACAAAGACTCCACCAAAAAACTACTAGAACTGATAAACACATTCAGTAAAGTTGCAGGATACAAAAATCAATGTACAGAAATCTGTTGTATTTCTATACAATAATGAAGCAGGAGAAAGAGAAATTAAGAAAACAATCCCATTTACAATTGCACCCAAAATAATAAAATACCTAGGAATAAACCTAACCAAAGAGGTGAAATTCCTGTAAGACCTGTACTCTGAAAACTATAAAACACTGTTGTAAGAAACTGAAGATGACACAAACAAATGGAAAGACAAATAAAAAAAAAAAAAGGAAAGAGGAAAAAAAAGAAAGAGGGAGAGAGGGAGGGAGGAAGGAAGAAAAGACACTTCATGCTAAGAGATTGGAAGAACAAATATTGTTAAAATGTCTATACTACCCAAAGCAATCTACACATTTAATGCAATCCTTGTCAAAATACCAGCAGCATTTTTCCACAGAACTACAGCAAACAATTCTAAAATTTGTATGGAACTGCAGAAGACCCTAAAGAGCCAAAACAATTTTGAAAAAGAAAAGCAAAGCTGGAGTCATCACAATTCTGGACTTCAAGTTATATTACAAAGCTGTAGTAATCAAAACTATGGTTTTGTGCCAGTATAGTACTGGCACAAAAATATTCACATAACTCAATGAAACAGAACAGAAAGTCCATAAATAAACCCATAATTATGTGGTCACTAAATATGAGATCTGAAACTATAAAAATCACTATGAGACCTGAAACTGTAAAAAACCTAGAACAGAACACAGGCAGTAACCTCTTTCACATTGGCCATTGCACTTTTTCCTAGATATGTCTCCTGAGGCAAGGGAAACAAAAGGAAAAATAAACAAATGGGACTTCATCAAAATAAAAAGCTTCTGCACAGAGAAGAAAACAGTCAACAAAACTCAAAGGCACCCTATAGAATGGGAGAAGATATTTGCAAATGACATGTCTGGTAAAGGGCTAGTATCTGAAATATATAAAGAACTTATAAAACTCAACACCCAAAAACAACTAATCCAATTTAAAAACGAGAAGACATGAATAGACATTTTTCTAAAGAAGACATCCAGATGGCCAAGAGACACATGAAAAGATGTTCATCATCACATCATTAGGGAAATGCAAATCAAAACTACAATGAGATATCGCCTCACACATGTGAGAATGTCTAAAATTAACAACAAAAGAAACACATGTTGGCAAGGACTTGGAGAAAAGGGAACCCTTGTGCACTATTGTTGGTGGGAATGCAAACTGGTGCAGCCAGTGTGGAAAACAGTATGGAGGGTCCTCAGAAAGTTAAAAATATAACTACCTAATGACCCAGCAATCACACTGAGTATTTACCCAAAGAATACAAAAACATTAATTCAAAGGGATACAAGCCCTCCTATGTTTATAGCAGCATTAATTACAATAGCCAAGATATGGAAGCAGCCCAAGTGTCGAATGACTGATACATGGAGATGTGGTATATATGTACCTTGAAATATTATTCAGCCATAAAAAGAATGGAATCTTGCCATTTGCAATGACACGGATGGACGTAGAGAGTATAATGCTAAGCAAGGTAACTCAAAGATAAATAACTTATGATTTCACTCATATGTGGAATTTAGAAACAAAACAAATGAGCAAAGGGTAAAAGGAGGGGAGGAGGGGACAAACAGAGAAACAGACTCCTAATTATAGAGACCAAGCTGATGATTACCAGAGGGGAGGAGTGTGGGAGGGATGGGTTAAGTAGGTGATGGGGTTTAAGGAGTGTCCTTGTGGTGAGCACAGGGTGATGTATGAAAGTGTTGAAACACCACATTGTACACCTGAAGCAAATATAACACCGTGTTAACTGGAATTTAAAAACTGTTTAAAAAGTAGTCTTCAGTTCCCTTAATCTTTTCTATTGTTTTTTCCTATTTCATTTATTTCTGTACTGATCATTATTTTCCTTCTGCTAACTTGGGGTTAGTTTTTTTTTTTCTTGTGCCTTGAGGGGTAAAGGTAGGTTGTTTGAAAATTTTTTCCTTAATGTAGGTATTGTTATCAACATTCCTTCTAGAATTTCTTCTGATCCATCCCATAAGTTTTGTCAGGGTGTGTTTCTATTTTCATTTGTTTCAGAATATCGTTTCTCTTTTCATTTCTTCTTTGACTCCTCAGTTGTTGAGTAGTGTGTTAATTTCCACACATTTGTGAGCTTTCCATTTTTAATCCTATTATCATTTGTTTCATACTATTGTGTTCAGAAAAGATAATTGGTATGATTTCATTCTTATATTTACTAAGGTGCATTTTGTAGACCTAACATAGGACCTATCCTGGGTAATGTTGTGCGTGTGCTTGAGAAGAATGCATATTCTGGTTCTGTTGGATGAAATAATCTGTATATGTCTGTTAGGTCCTTTCGGTCTGAAGAATAGCTCAAGTCCAATGTTTTTGTGATGATTTTCTGTCAGAATATTCTATCCATCGTTGCAAGTAGGGTATTGAAGTTCCCTACGCTTATTGCTATTTCTTATTGCCTTTAGATCTGTTAGTATTTGCTTGATATATTTAGGTACTCCAGTGTTAGGTGTATATATGTTTATAATTGTTATATCCCCTTGATGAACTGATCCCTTTTTATTATATAATCACCTTGTCTTGTTACACCTTTGGACTTGAAGTTTATTGTATCTGATATAACTAGAGTGACTCCTGCTCTCTTTTGGTTTCCATTTGCATGGAATCTCTTTCCATCCCCTCACTTTGAGCCTATGTGTGTCCTTAAATCTCTTTTGTCAGCAGCATTCACTTGAGTGTTTTTTGTTTGTGTTTTGTTTTTTGAGTAAAGCGATAGTAGTTTATTAAGTGAAGATACAGAAAAAGCTCTCAATAGTGAGAGGGGTCCCAACAGGGTTGCAAAGGGAGAAACTTTTTTTTTTTTTTTAAGCCATCCAGTCACTGTAGGTCTTTGACTGGATAATTCATTCATTTATAGTCAGACTAATTATTGATAGGTAAGGGCTTACTGATGCCATCTTATCAATTGCTTTTCTGGCTAATTTGTAGTTCCCTTATTCCTTTTTTTCCTCCTTCTGACTTCCTTTAGGAATTGATAATTTCCTATAATGGAAATTTCCTATAATTGATAATTTAGGATAATTTAGGAATTATCACATTGGCCATTGCACATTGTATATTATCAACAGATTTCAAACCTCAGGATGAAAATCATTGATAGTAATTTGGCCTGTTCAAGAAACCTGAAATAAACTATTTAATAAAGTGAAGGTAACAGGACCTTTCCACGGGGATCCTTGTAACTTTAACAGCAATTATAGGTATTATAATTTTGATTTTTAATTAATCAATTATCAATTATTAAATTTATTTAGAATTTAATTGAATAATCTTTCAGAAGAACTTAAGAGACTGTTTTCTCTACTATGAATTATCTGATGTGTAGCCGATTGTGAGAAATGGTTAAATAATTTATCACATTCATTACAGTTTTAAGGTTTCTCTACAATGTAAATTCTTTGGTGAATCCTGAGGTCAGATCATTGTCTAAAGGCCTTATCATTTTCAATACATTTGTATGTTTTCTCTCTGATGTGAATTCTCTCATGACCCCTCAGGTAAACATCTGAACATCTGATAAAAGTTTAACACATTCATTACATTTATAAGGTTTCTCTCCAGTAGGAGATAATATTACATATGCTTGATCTTTGGATAAAAGCCTTACCATACCCATTACATTTTTGTGCTTTCTTTCAAAGATGCATATTCTGGTGTCTAATTAACTGTGAGCCCTGGTTACAGGCTTTGCCAAATACATGACTTACATGGTTTCTGTTCAGTATGGATTCTTTGATGTTGAGTAAGGCTTGAACACACATTAAAGGTTTTGCTACACACATGACATTTGTGAGGTTTCTCTTCACTACAAATTCTCTGATAATCCCCAGTGCTTGATCTTGGGATAAAAGCATTTCCACATATATTAGGTTTACAATGTTTCTTTTCAGTATGCATTTTCTGATGTCTAGTAAGATTTGCAAATTGGGTAAAGGCCTTGTCACATTCATTACATTTATAAGGCTTCTCCCCAGTATGGATTCTTTGATGTCGGGTAAGGCTTGAACACACATTAAAGGCTTTGCCACACTCGTTACATTTATAAGGCTTCTCTCCAGTATGAATTATCTGATGTATGACAAGGTTAGAGGACTGGTTAAAGGCTTTGCCACATTCCTTACATTTGTAAGGTTTTTCTCCACTATGGATTCTCTTATGTTGAGTAAGGCTTGAACGCTCCATAAAGGCTTTGCCACACTCGTCACATTTGTAAGGCTTCTCTCCTGTATGAACTCTCTGATGAATTCTAAGATTTGAATGTTGACTACAGACCTTGTCACATACACTACATTTATATGGTTTCTCTCCAGTATGGATTCTCTGGTGTCTAGTGAGGTGTGATATGCGGTTAAAGGATTTGTCACACTCATTACATTTGTAAGGTCTCTGCCCAGAATGAATTCTCTGATGATTGGTGAGATTCGAGCTTCCTCTAAAAGTCTTCCCACATTCATTACATTTATAAGGCTTCTCCCCAGTATGGATTCTCTTATGTCGAGTAAGGCTTGAATACTCAGAAAAGACTTTGCCACACTCATTACATTTGTAAGGTTTCTCTCCAGTATGAATTTTCTGATGCCGTGCAAGATTTGAATTTTGACTACAGCCCTTGCCACATATATTACATTTATATGGTTTCTCTCTGGTATGGATTCTCTGATGTCTAGTAAGTTTTGCAAATTGGGTGAAGGCTTTGCCACACTCATTACATTTGTAAGGCCTCTGCTCAGAATGAATTCTCTGATGATTAATGAGGTTTGAGCTTTCTCTAAAAGCCTTCCCACAATCATTACATTTGTAAGGTTTTTCACTAATAGGTGTTTTTTGATGTCTAAGTAATGAAGGATGCATAAAAAGTTTCCCAGATTTATTACAAATGTTCATGTTGATGCTAGGAAGAATTCTTTGAAGTGGTGAAACAAAACTACCATTGATCAACTCAACTTGATTATATTCATAAATTTTCTCTTCAGTTTGAAACTTCTGAAGGTCAGCCAGATGCGACTGAAACTTTAATCCAATTCCATTTTCAAAACATTTTATATACTTGTTTCCTGCACAGGTCATGTTATTTTTTAGTTTTAACAAATACCTTTTATATGACTTCTCATGTTTGTAACTTCGATAAGTACTTTTTCTTACAGAAACACTCTGCTTTAGAGGGAAATCATTCCAGGATTTGTTATGCTGTTGATCTCTTCTACCAGTGAAATTTTGGTTATGGGCTGCGGTTACTCCTCTGTAATTTGTTTCATCATACGTATACTGACTTTCAAACTCATGCATATTTTGCTGGACTTCTCTGAAACCCAAATCCTTGATGTCATTTCTTTTGTGTCTTTCCAACATCAATGTTTGGAATAATTCTTCTTTGCTAATATCCTCTTTTGGTGATAATTTTTTAATCATACTTCTAACAGAGATATCTGAAAGATATAAAGGACCATAGGTTTCCTATTAATAGAGTTATAAAGTGAATATTTTATCTTGAAAACATAATATTAGGCCAAAAGTAATGCTTATATAGTAATAAAACTTCTCAACCATAGTATGCAAATATTTAGGAATAAAGGGAATCGGATTTCTCAATAAAGAAAGGGTGTTTACACCCAGATAAAATTATTTTCAGGAAAGCCTAGTTCCAACACCCTATGATCAAACCACTCAGAGTGTTTACATAAGCCCTGAAACAAGTGGTATCTTCCTGTTGCCACCCCAAAGTACTCACCAATTGGCACTAGACATTTGGGTGTTTCATATTTGAAGGAAAGCAATATTATATTAATGCATATACACATACCTAATTATTTAGGTACAATTATAAAGGCTAAAGCAGAGGACTACATACTGTAATGGTAAATAATATTTTAAACTTATCTAACAAAAAATGGCAATTCACAATTATAAAATAAAAATAGCACTGAGAAAATGAGAAGAACCTGATAAAACACCATCGTAAGAATAACAAAATATTGGTCTGAATTTCTATAATTAAACTATCTATATTCATGCAGACTAGGCATTTTACAACATTAACCATTGGTGCATGACAGTCATAATACATAAAAGATATTTAAAAACCATTATCTGTAAGTCATAGTAAAAATGAATCAAACATTTCAGAAACCCACAGTAAATCCAGAAGATAAATAATAAGCCAACACAATTACAAACCATTATAATCTGTGGCATTCTAAAGAATTCTTCCTTCAGAACAAAGGACAGGGCTCCTATTCCCAAAGGAATACATAATATGAGCATTGAAACCTATGTTAAGAACCACTGACTTTTTAAGTATCTGGTTCAAGTACATGCATAATATTTTAAGATGAAGAATTTGGGAAGGCAATCAGAAATCAGAATTATGATGTCATACCTGCAATTAACAACCAATAGAGCTATTTTCTTTTCCTTTTTTTAAATTTTATTATGTTATGTGAATCACCTTACATCATTAGTTTTTGATGTAGTGTTCCATGATTCATTGTTTGCATATAACACCCAGTGCTCCATTCAATATGTACCCTCTTTAATACCCATCACCAGGCTAACCCATCCACCCACCCCACCCCCCTCTAGAACCCTCAGTTTGTTTCTCAGAGTCCATAGCCTCTCATGGCTCATCTCCCCCTCCGATTTCCCCCCCTTCGTTTTTCCCTTCCTACTATCTTTTTTTTTTTTTAACATATAATGTATTATTTGTTTCAGAAATACAGGTCTGTGATCCAACAGTCTTACACAATTCACAGCACTCACCATAGCACATACCCTCCCCAATGTCTATCACCCAGCCACCCCATCCCTCCCACCCCGCCCCCACTCTAGCAACCCTGTTTGTTTCCTGAGATTAAGAATTCCTCATATCAGTGAGATCATATGATACATGTCTTTCTCTGATTGACTTATTTTGCTTAGCATAATACCCTCTAGTTCCATCCACGTCATTGCAAATGGCAAGATTTCTTTTTTGATGGCTGCATAATATTCCACTGTATATATATACCACATCTTCTTTATCCATTCATCTGTCGATGGACATCTTGGCTCTTTCCATAGTTTGGCTATTGTGGACATTGCTGCTGTAAACACTGGGGTGCACATACCCCTTTGGATCACTAGATTTGTATCTTTGGGATAAATACCCAGTAGTGCAATTGCTGGGTCGTATGGTAACTCTATTTTCAACTTTTTGAGGAACCTCCATACTGTTTTCCAGAGTGGCTGCACCAGCTTGCATTCCCACCAACAGTGTAGGAGGGTTCCCCTTTCTCTGCATCCTCACCAAAATCTGTTGTTTCCTGACTTGTTAATTTTAGCCATTCTGACTGGAGTGAGGTGGTATCTCATTGAGGTTTTGATTTGGATTTCCCTGATGCCGAGGGATGTTGAGCACTTTTTCATGTGTCTGTTGGCCTTTTGGATGTCTTCCTTGGAAAAGTGTCTGTTCATGTCTTCTGCCCATTTCTTGATTGGATTATTTGTTCTTTGGATACTGAGTTTGATAAGTTCTTTATAGATTTTGGATACTAGCCCTTTATCTGATAGGTCATTTGCAAATATCTTCTCCCATTCTGTCTGTTGTCTTTTGGTTTTGTGGACTGTTTCCTTTGCTGTGCAAAAGCTTTTTATCTTGATGAAGTCCCAATAGTTCATTTTTGCCCTTGTTTCCCTTGCCTTTGGCGATGTTTCTAGGAAGAAGCTGCTGTGGCTGAGGTCTAAGAGGTTGCTACCTGTGTTCTCCTCTAGGATTTTGATGGATTCCTGTCTCACATTTAGGTCTTTCATCCATTTTGAGTCCATTTTTGTGTGTGGTGTAAAGAAATGTCCAGTTTCATTCTTCTGCACGTGGCTGTCCAATTTTCCCAACATCATTTGTTGAAAAGACTGTCTTTTTTCCATTGGACATTCTTTCCTGCTTTGTCAAAGATTAGTTGACCATAGAGTTGAGGGTCCATTTCTGGGCTCTCCATTCTGTTCCATTGATGTGTCTGTTTTTGTGCCAGTAACATACTGTCTTGATGATTACAGCTTTGTAATAGGGCTTGAAGTCCGGAATTGTGATGCCACCAGCTTTGCTTTTCTTTTTCAACATTCCTATTCGGCTATTTGGGGGTCTTTTCTGGTTCCATACAAATTTTAGATTATTTGTTCCATTTCTTTGAAAAAAGTTGATGGTATTTTGATAGGGATTGCATTAAATGTGTAGATTGCTCTAAGTAGCATTGACATCTTCACAATATTTGTTCTCCCAATCCATGAGCATGGAACATTTTTCCATTTCTTTGTGTCTTCTTCAATTTCTTTCAAGAGTATTCTATAGTTTTCTGAGTACAGATTCTTTGCCTTTTTGGTTAGATTTATTCCTAGGTATCTTATGGTTTGGGTACAATTGTGAATGGGATCGACTCCTTAATTTCTTTCTTCTGTCTTGTTGTTGGTGTATAGAAATGCCACTGATTTCTGTGCATTGATTTTATATCCTGCCACTTTACTGAATTACTGTATGAGTTCTAGTAGTTTTGGGGTGGAGTCTTTTCGGTTTTCCACATAAAGTATCATATCATCTGCAAAGAGTGGGAGTTTGACTTCTTTACCAATTTGGATGCCTTTGATTTCTTTTTGTTGTCTGACTGCTGTGGCTAGGACTTCTAGTACTATGTTGAACAACAGTGGTGACAGTGGACATCCCTGCCGTGTTCCTGACCTTAGGGGGAAAGCTTTCAGTTTTTCCCCATTGAGAATGATATTCACTGTGGGTTTTTCATAGATGGCTTTTATGATATTGAGGTATGTACCCTCTATCCCTATACTCTGAAGATTTTGATCAAGAAAGGATGCTGTACTTTGTCAAATGCTTTTTCTGCATCTATTGAGAGGATCATATGGTTCTTGTTCTTTCTTTTGTTAATGTATTGTATCACATTGATTGATTTGCGGATGTTGAACCAACCTTGAAGCCCAGGGATAAATCCCACTTGGTGCGAATAATCCTTCTAATGTACTGTTGGATTCTATTGGCTAGTATTTTGGTGAGAATTTTTGCATCCATGTTCATCAGGGATATTGGTCTGTAATTCTCCTTTTTGATGGGGTCTTTGTCTGATTTTGGGATCAAGGTAATGCTGGCCTCATAAAATGAGTTTGGAAGTTTCCCTTCCATTTCTATTTTTTGGAACAGTTTCAGTAGAATAGGTATTAATTCTTCTTTAAATGTGTGGTAGAATTCCCCTGGGAAGCTATCTGGCCCTGGGCTCTTGTTTGTTGGGAGATTTTTTATTACTGCTTCAATTTCCTTAGTGGTTATAGGTCTGTTCAGGTTTTCTATTTCTTCCTGGTTCAATTTTGGTAGTTGATACATCTCTAGGAATGCATTCATTTCTTCCAGATTATCTAATTTGCTGGCATAGAGTTGCTCATAATATGTTCTTATAATTGTTTGTATTTCTTTGGTGTTGGTTGTGATCTCTCCTCTTTCATTCATGATTTTGTTGATTTGGGTCATTTCTCTTTTCTTTTTCGTCAGTCTGGCCAGGGGTTTATCAATCTTGTTAATTCTTTCAAAGAACCAGCTCCTGGTTTCATTGGTCTGTTCTACTGTTCTTTTGGTTTCTAGTTCATTGATTTCTGCTCTGATCTTTATTATTTCTCTTCTCCTGCTGGGTTTAGGCTTTATTTGCTGTTCTTTCTCCAGCTCCTTTAGGTGTAGGGTTAGGTTGTGTATTTGAGACCTTTCTTGTTTCTTGAGACAGGCTTGTATTGCTATATACTTTCCTCTTAGGACCGCCTTTGCTGCATCCCAAAGATTTTGAACAGTTGTGTTTTCATTTTCATTGGTTTCCATGAATTTTTTTAATTCTTTAATTTCCTGGTTGACCCATTCATTCTTTAGTAGGCTCTTTAGCCTCCATGTATTTGAGTTCTTTCTGACTTTCCTCTTGTGATTGAGTTCTAGTTTCAAAGCACTGTGGTCTGAAAATATGCAGGGAATGATCCCAATCTTTTAGTACCGGTTGAGCCCTGATTTGTGACCTAGGATGTGATCTATTCTGGGGAATGTTCCACGGGCACTAGAGAAGAATGTGTATTCTGTTGCTCTGGGATGGAAGTTCTGAATATATCTGTGAAGTCCATTTGGTCCAGTGTGTCATTTAAAGTCTTCATTTCCTTGTTGATCTTTTGCTTAGATGATCTGTCCATTTCAGTGAGGGGGGTGTTAAAGTCCCCCAGTATTATTGTATTGTTGTTGTTGTGTTTCTTTGATTTTGTTAATTAATTGGCTTATATAATTGGCTGCTCCCATGTTAGGGGCATAGATATTTAAAATGGTTAGATCTTGTTGGATAGAACTTTTAAGTAGGATATAGTGTCCTTACTCATCTCTTATTATAGTCTTTGGTTTATAATCTAACTTGTCTGATATAAGGAT